TGGGCCTCTGCATATTCTTTGCAGGGAATATCCTACCCCTTGCCTCTACACACAACGTAAGTCCTGCCAATCCTTGAGGTTTCACCTTAACTCTTACTTCCTCTGAGAAGTCCCCTTGCACACAACAGGCACTCAATAAATTACCTTTCTTTCCTAATTCCTGTGTTTTAGTTTAATGTCAGATTTTATAGTTTTGATTTTACTTAAGCTATTTTATTAATAAAACACAAACAAAATAGGCTGATTTATATTTTTAGATATTCTTTTATAAAGACCTAACAACAGAATATTTTGAGTGACGTGATGAATCTTGCTACTAAAGAAGCCCATCATAAACATGGCATTTGCAAAATTATTCTAAATAAATAACAACTTAAAAAAGACTTGCTTCCCAGTCTTACATGTCCATAGACCTAAGGTGTATGCAGATGTTTTATTCTTCTAATTCCACTTTTTATTTTTATCAGAATAATGCCAGCTAAATGAATTCCATTATAATTAAAAGATTCAAATTTTTAATATTTCATCATTTACATACATAGCACTTACTTGAACCATAAGAAGGCATAAAATATTGAATTAAATTATATACAATGTCTAATACCTGATGGTTTTTTACCAACAAGAATAATTTAATCAACTCAACCTAATATAATATAAATAATATTGAATAAAATATATAGAAAAAACAATCAGATCAAGAATAATTAAAAGATCAATAAAGAAATTTAAAAAATAAAAAAAAATAAAAATCAATGGAAAAATATCCTCCGGTGAGGATTTTAAAAATAAATAAATAAAGTAAAAGTTTTTTTAAAAAAAGAAAAAGTAATTATAAAGGTTATGTGTATATGTACTTGAATATATATATAGGTATCCCATTTATGGACTCTTATGCTCTATAGAAATATAATTTGCTTATTAACAAATTTCAGTTTGTCCCACAATAGAGGCTGATTTTTTTTTTAGTCACTAAGTTCCCTTTAAGAATCCAATGAAAGCTATATATTGTCTTGCCAGAGGAAAAAAAGTTCATATGCTTATATAAAGAAATACAAATTTCTACTGATTCAGAGTTCATGAAGCCAAGATCCAAGTTTAAGAAGCTAAGCAACTGCAAAAGTTAGTTTGTTTACTTTTTGGAGAAAGATGCTCCCTATTACTTCCTATTAGGAAGTTGTCCAACCTCCTTTATTGAACTTGTCTCTTTTCTCTCATATTTTATGTCTTTTTGTTCTATGTTCTGGATAATTTTTTTAACTTTGTTTTGCAAACCTTCTGTTGGGTTTCTTTTACAATTTTTTTGGATATTTTGTTGTTGTTGTTGTTAATCCTCACCCGAGGACATTTTTCCATTGATCTTTTTTAGAGAGAGTGGATGAGAGGAAAAGACAGAAACATCAATGTGAGAGAAATGTATCAATTGGTTGCCTTCTGCATACACCTCAGCCAGGGCCCGGGCTGGAGAGGAGCCGGCAACCAAGGTACGTGCCCTTGATTGGAATCGAACCTGGGACCCTTTGGTCTGAAGCCAATGTTCTATCCACTGAGCCAAACCGGCTAGGGCCAGAGTTTTTAACTATAGGGTAATAATTGAATAATGGTATTAAACAAAAGCTGACTCCCTGGAAAAGGGCAGGATATTCATATATTAAGTATTAAGTAACCAAATGACTTTTTCAAAAAGGCTGATGGGTCAACATATTTCTGATTTTAGCCTAGCTGAAACCATAGGAGCTGAGGGAGATAGAATAATTTGAAATCATGTTAGTTAAATTAGAAAAATAAACACCAAAAGATATTCCTGATATTTATCTAATCCACCCTGGTTCAATAATACATCCTGTTGGTACACTCAGAAATAAGCCACATACAGAACTAATTAGTTAATTTTTATCTGCAACTGTTACATATATTTTAAAACTAGTCCATTCACTGAAATCACTGATCACCTAGATCCTTAAAGTTAGAGGAAGTGATTAATTTTGTTGGGAAATTTAATGAGAACACTAAGAAAATACAACTGTATACAAATACTAACTTTGAAAAGAATTAGAATACAGAAAAGAATTTGTATTACTTTGACAAGATGTTATCTTTAATCTTAAACAGGCTGTAGATAAGAAATTGTGTGTTCAACATTTTTGCCTGTCCCATGCCTGCCGTCACCTGTGTCTGTGAACGCTTTGTCTAACACGTTTCCTAAAATTTCCAGTAGCCAGCATGCACTGCTGCAATGAGGGCCTGGTGACTCACGTCCTTAGTACATTCCCATTTCCATTATTCAGTGTGGACACTCCTCATCCTCCACACACTCTCACAGGCTGCATGGGATCGGAATGGGGCAGGGGGAGGAGGTGCAAACAGTGGGATAGGCCTTAGATTTTTTTCCAAAACTGCAAGTCATTGTGAAACTGACTTAGTAGGTTGTGACTAGCTTTTTGTTTTGGGAATTTTTCTTGGGGAGAGGGGAGAAGTTTAAAATGAAATAGAATACAACACAGTGAAAGAGAAAACATCGGAGTACATCATGTATTGTAAAGGTAAGCCTCTCTTCAGGTATATGTGTGTGTATATATGTATGTAATGGATAAGTCATGGTGATAAGAGTTAATAATATTGTATCGCATATTTGAAAGTAGCTAGGATAGTGGATCTTGAAAGATTTTACCACAAGAAAAAAAAATGGTAATTATGTATGGTGACAGATTTTAACTGGACTTATTGTGATCATCATTCTACAATATATAAAAATATTGAATCATTATGTTGTACACATGAAACTAATGTTTTGTCAATTATACCTTAATTTTTTAAATGGCGTCAAAGAAAATCACTCTCCTTGGATAATGCAAAACAAAACAAAACAAAATAATATTATTACTTTAAAAATAGATACTTTATATCTACCCATTCATGGGCAAATAAACCACTCTGGTTGTACCTAACCCTTTCATTCCAAGAATGGTCCATTCAGATCACATTTTGGACTTGTTTTCTAACACTCTGTGTTTCTGCGTCTCTCAGATCTCATGTTTCTGGCTTGACAATTGCTAGTTACCTCCATCTTCTGAGGAACTTCATACAATACAGTGGGAAAGTCTTTTCCTGTGAGTTTCATATTTTTGGATGGATTTTCACTCCCAATGATTTTCCAATGCTATGAGATTTCCCTTGAAAACATTTAACTTTCTACCTTACTTGTACCTCTTAACTCTCTACTCTTTTATTCTTAGAAATGGATGTTTTATTTTAATAGATTCCTACAGCATTGCCCCAGTTTCTAATACTTTTCTCTGACAGCTCTGGAATAATCAGCTGGCTGAAGAATACACATCAAACTTACCACCCACAAAAATCAATTAAAGCCACTATGCCCACTGGAATGCAAAGCCTATATATATTCATTTACTTTATTGATTTGTACATTTTAACATTTAGAATTTACTTTAAGTTAAAATTCAGTAAAAAAGTGTTATAGTGGGTTTGGTGCTCAAGTGCAATCCATGTCAAACTACATTTTAAGTAATGAGTTTACCAAGTCGATGGCAACTCTATCTTCTAATTGCTCAGTCCAAAATCAGTAGAATCCTCTTGACTCTTCTCCTCCTCTGACACCCATGTTTAATATATCATGATTAATTGGTTCTCTTTAAAAATATACCCAGGTTCCAACCACCTCCATCTCTACCCTGTCTCCATCCCCACTGTAATCACCCTTGTTCAAGCTACCATAATTTCTCAGCAGTATCACGGCAAAACTCGGTCTGAGCTTCCTATTTCTAGTCCTACCTTCCTATAGTCTGTTCTCAACACAGTGGACATTGCGATCCTCTAAAACCTCAGACAAAGCATATCACTCTGCCTCTCAAACCTCTGCCAGAGCTTCCCACTTCACTCAAAGTAAAGCCTACGTCCTCACAATGGTCGACATTTCCTGGCTCCCTTGGAGCTAACTTCCTCTCCTACCATTCTCATTTTCATTTACTTCACTCCAGCTACACTGGCCTTTTTGCTGTTCCTCACACTCACCAGGCATGAGCTAACCTCAGGGCCTTTGAACTAACTGCTGGAATGGTCCTTCCCTAGACATCTCCATGACTAACCCACCTCCTTCACCTTCTCAGTGAGGTCTACTCTAACTAAAACAACAGTAATTTTCTCCTTCTTCCCTGATTCCACCTTGCTTATTTCCCCCTACTTTTTATTTCTTCATAGCTATTTAGCAGTTTCTAACATATTAAATATATTCTTTATTTATTATGTTGTTCACTCTCTATTTCCTTATGCTAGAATTTTAGGTCCATAAGACCTGGGATCTTTGCCTGTTTGTTCAGAAAAGAAATGTATATTAATATCATGGTTAGGTAAGAAAATTCCCTAGTATAGTCCCAAGGTACAAGAATTAACATCAGTAAATTGGTGCCAAATTAAAAAACAAAGTGATCTCTCACCTTGATACTAAAACTTTCTAGATAGATTTCTATTTCAAATTATTTTAAATGATGTGTTTCGTTTTGTCAGACATATGATAAGGAGCAATCTATCCACAGTATTTGGCAAGTGTGGGATGCAAATGGATAGATGAAGACTCGAAGCTTTCCAAGTCCCTTAGAGAAAGGAAAGCACTGCCTAAGCAGGCGTTTCCTGCTTTGTCCTAAATAATCTTAAAACAGATGGTAAAAGCTAAATAGTAGGTCTTCTGCCATGGAAACCACTATCACAGCAGCCCATTCTAGAGTCTTACCTATAAAATAAATGTTTGTCTCCCTGTTGTTACCATCTGAACCTGCCAATTTTCACTCTAAATCCTACTAGAAGGTATGGCTACTATATACTTATCAGCCTGACAAAAAAGTCTGGGAGAGACTAGTTGACACACCATCACCTTAAACATAGTCAAAATCCAGCAACATACACCAGGACTGGGTTTACATAATTTTCCATGCTATTATGCATTCAAGTTCCACCTTTATGACATGTAAATTTGTGTATCTTACCTTGATATTACAAGCCTGCTCCATCAATCTTCTTGCATTTTCCTCTGCCCTGTATCTCTTTGGAAGCTGAACTCTGAAGAACTTTAAAGCCCCTTCAAAATCAGCCTGCAGAAGATCTTCCTTTGAGGTCTGCAAAATAATCACCCAGATCATCATGACATTTTAGCCTGCATTCATGACACACATGTTGAAAAAAGAATTTCTATTTTCTGGAATGCACTTTTTATAGCTACTATCTAGGTTAGTTCTAAAACATTTAAAAAAGAGATTTCTAACCTCTTGATTCAAAGTTGAACTATGTCACCATAAATCCTAGAAGCAATATAAGAATTAATTAACAGGCTAACATATTTAATTTATATTGCCTGAAGATTTCAATGGTGGATGTGGCAATGCCAACCAAGTTACAGCTGTGAGAGAAAAATAAATGCCAGGAAAAAAATTGAAACCTGGGACTAATCTGTGACTTTATAGGCATTTTACAGATATTACTACAAAGCTTGCTGAAGACACAGACAATGCAATCAGAGCCCATCCGAGTTATATAATAAACACCTAATTGGAGGATGGCTTTTCAGCAGCTCATGATGGAAATAAGAAATTGATCGAATACCTTAAAGAATGCTATGGTTACCAGAGGGAAGGGGGGTAGGAGGGTACTAAAGTGTAAAGGGGACCAAATATATGGTGGTGAAAGATTATTTGACTTTGGGTAGTGGGCACACAATTCAACAGATCATGTGTCATAGAAATGTACATTTGAAAACAATAATAATCTCATTAACCAATGTCATCCCAATACATTTAACTTAAAAAATAAAATTTAAAAAAAGAATGCTATGAAAAGTAAATGAAGTAAGCCACTTAACTACTGAACTTCTTATGAAAACTACTGTTTGCAAAATTTACTTCCTTAAAAAATAACAACCACTTAGAAATAAGTACATGTATGCATAGAAAAAAGACTAAAAGAAAATGAAATAAAATTTTTCTCTGGATAGCATCATGCTTGGGTATTTTTTAAAAATATATTTTGTTGTATTTTCTGCAGGAAAAATTTTGTAATAAGAAAAATTGTTTATTTTAATAAACAATTACAAGTGATTTATGGAAAACACCTGATACAAATTATAGATTCAGGCAGACTCAGTAACATAGAAGTAAGCCAAAAAGAAATTAGATGTTTTAAGAGTCAGTACTTAATTATGCAAGACTTCAGTAATAAAATGAGAAAGAAAAAAAAATAAAAACACGGAGGCTAGAAATCATAGAACTAAGCACTAGTTCAAAATATTACTTTATTTAAATTCAGAAGTACAATAAATTAACTATTAAGACTGCACTGAAAGAATATAAGGAAGTCAGAGAAATTCCTGCTCGTAATAGGGTCTGAGTTGCTGTCCTCACCTCTGTGGCCCAGGCCATTGTTATTTCTCAGGTGAGCCACCACAATAACTTCCTAACTGGCCTCCCTGTTTCCACTCTTGCTCCCCACAACCTACTCTCCTTATAGCAGCCCCATGATACCCCTTCCGGTCATGTCACTCTTCCATTTAAAGCCCTCCAAGGGTTCCTAGTGTGCTCAGAATAAAAACCCAAATTTTTAGCATTTCCCACAGAACCCTTCATAATCCGCCCCCATTCCCCTCCATCCTCATCTTGAACCACATCCCTCTCAGGCACACTGCCTTTCTTTCTGGTTTCTATACACACCAGGTTCATCCATAACTGAAGGCTACTGCCCTAGCTGTCCTCTCTGCCCAGAACATTCTTCTCCCAGCTCTTCATAACACTCACCTTTTGTTTTCCAAATTTTCTGTCATAAAATGATGATAGGAAATGTGTTTACTAACTATATCTCCCAAGGTAACACTACTTCTTTCATTTGAATAGATTATATAAAAAGATTACCTGGACAGTTAAAAACACTTAAACAATTCCAACTTCTATTTCCTTCCAAGTAGGTAGAAAGAAACAGCCAGAGCTCATAGGTAAGTGGGATGTCAATATATCATCCTTCCCACTCTCCTAGTAAAATGAATTAAGCAAATTGCTAGGCACATGGTAGACACCACATTCATATATTCCATGGATTCATAAAGGCTCCACTTTAAGCCAACCCAGTATTTTTTAATCAAAATTTATAAAATTCAGATTAGAAAGTGGATTTAGGACTTATTTTGATATAAAATGGATTTTTATATTTGGTCAGCATCAGAAGTCTACATAGCAATTGCTCTATCTGGGACTCTAACTTCTTTTAAGAGTTATAATCTCTTTCCAATGAGCCATCCTTTATCCCCTGCTCTTTAATTCCCTGCTTAGAAGTAATGTTTTTTAAAAAGTCCACAAATTTAAAAATACCAACTAGCATGTAATTTGACTGCATAAGAAATTTGATCAAAATTAGACCTTGACATGGCTACTGAAGAGACTGCTAAGCATTTGCCTATATTCATCCGCCCTCCTTGGCCTGAGAGTCATTTGGATTCACTGTGCACAGTGCCTGGAGTATCCTATGGAAAGTACAGCCAACACTGATATTAATATGTCACGATCTGACAATGACTTCCCATGTCATATAACAGCCAAAGGTGGAAACATCTAGAGGGGAAAGATATTGAACATAAGTAGAGTAAAAGTTTTTCCTCTTTCTCCAAATTTCACACACTTACAGGAGTGTGGCTCTGGCTATGTGCCTCTGCTGATACCATTTTGAGTGTGTTCTTCCCACTGAAAAATTCAATGCAAGAGCTTCTCATTTTAAAGTGATTTTTTAAAGGAGGCAGGGTGAGTGGAAAGGAAGAATTCTGACATTTCAGTGTCAGCTCTCAGTGCTTCTATCCCAAACCTGTAACTGTGCCTGGATGGCAAATCTTTCTTCAAGGGCCTCTGATAAGCATCAAATTCTAGGTTAGATTATCTTAGGGAATTATTTGAAAAAAAAAACATCTAGGCATGATTCTCTCTCTCACCTTTGCTGTTTTCACCACAAATTGGCTTTTCTTCCTTTAGTTATATAGAGTGTCTAACAAGATTTCTATTCTGTTGAGCAATATTTTTGGAGGTCTGAGACATTTGGAAGCACATGCTTTAGAAGACGGAACCATTACTTAGCTGGCATCAAAGACACCTATGTCTCTTGTTTTGGTGTTTTAATTTCAACAAAGAAACATTTATTTGGTGAGTCTACCGACAGAATATACGCCTTTTGGTAGTATCTATAATAATAAAAGCATAATATACTAATTAGACCAGATGTCCTTTGGGAGTCCTTTCAGACGACCTTCTGGACAAAGCTGGGGCTGCAGGGAAGCCTGGGTCCCAGGTGCCTGCTTGCGGCCAGAGGGAAGCCTGGGTCCACAGTGCCTGCCGGCAGCCGAAGGGAAGCCAGTGCCTGCAGCGGGGAAAGGAAGGCCTATTCTTGCACGAATTTCATGCATCGGGTCTCTAGTCTACAATAAAGTCCACGCGCCTGATTTGTTAAGGGGGTTGTTCTTGACTAGAATTACCTTTGACGAACAATGATGTGCTTGGTGTCCCAGCAGGTTGAGGTCCCTCTGTGAACCAGGGAGCAATAACTAAGGCTCAAAGTCCAAATCTACAACACTGTCTAGGTTAATCTCCTTTTATTTGAACAACTTCATTAAGAAGTTAAGTTGTCTTACACACAAAAAACTATTGGGATCTATAAAGCAAAATTAGGTATTTGTATATATTTAACTCACACACATTCATGTTTAAAACATGACTAAAGCCCTAACCGGTTTGGCTCAGTGGAGAGAGCATCAGCCTGCGGACCCAAGGGTCCCAGGTTTGATTCCGGTCAAGGGCATGTACCTTGGTTGCGGGCACATCCCCAGCGGGGGGTGTGCAGGAGGCAGCTGGTCGATGTTTCTCTCTCATCGATGTTTCTAACTCTCTTTCCCTCTCCCTTCCTCTCTGTAAAAAATCAATAAAAAATATAAAAAAAATAAAATAAAACATGACTAAAGACCTAAACTCCAGTGCCGGCCCTCTTGACTGGTACTAGAAAGATGACAATATTGCATGTGGCAGGATTCCTCATAAGCCCATCCTGGGCAGATCAGCCATCGATCCCACATCATTAGCCAGTCCAATCAGAGAGGTCTGAACAACTGTACTTCCCCCAGTACACGTGCTAAAATTTGAGCAGTAACTCATTGGCTAGCTGATCCCAATTCACAGCCATATTGCTAATGAACGGGCATGTGATTTCCCAATATGTAGAGTATCCCATTCTATGAATAATCTTATAAAGTGCAACACTGCATAACATCAGAGATTTCCAAATGGACCCTGGACAACTCGGCATATACTTCTCACATGTAATGTATGTGACACTACGACCTAGACTCTGAATTTTAGAGCCTAAAACAACCCAAGGGATGTACTTCCTCAGATAGGCAACCAGGCTCACTGCACAGTTGCAACATACAGATATGTGTGACCTCCCTAAGACCTGGAGCTGGGAACCTAACTCCCTGTGGATTTTATCATTAATAGTGTGTTTTAAACTAGAGGCCGTTTAAATTAATCTCTAATGAAGATTTGAGTATGAGGGACATTCTTAGTTATCAATTTATGTTTTCCTTTAAAACACTGAAAATGTAAATGCCAAAAAGAGGCAGCCCCAGATTTCAGAGAGTTACCAGTTCAAGCCCTGGTGACACAAAGTTGCGTGGTCTTTAAGAATATGGAACTGTATTCAGCCAAAACGGATTCCTCAGAGATGCAGAGAATTTGTAGAATATATATTTTAGTACTTCTTAGTGTCAAAGCCCCTGAAATACCACACTTTTTATTTCACTTAAAATTTTTATTTCCCTTACAAAGAACAAACACCTTTCTAATAGAATCATGAACCTTCAGTTTTCTCCTGTGTTAAGAAAAAATGTGATTCAGGAAAACAAAATCCAAATGAGCACCGATGACCTCACCTGGGCATTAAAACACATATTGAGTTCTTTTTTCTTTCATTTTTAAATGTCAAAGGAATAATATTTCTCAAAAATACAGCCCTCCTCCCTATAATTGTGTGCTAGTCATTGCATCTATCTTCATCTTGGAATGATAAACAGACTCTCTTCAGGATGAGAAATCCCTTA